AAGTGTTACCATGACCAAATTGAAGATAATTTGGGGGAACTAAAATCATTTGTGAGAACATTGACTACAGCACTTTTATGCTTTGTTCACTAGTAAGGCCAGAGATTAATCAGCTGTTTTTCTCCTATTGCCACACTTAATCAACCCACTCACAACCCTTTCCAGCTCTGGTTTCTTGCTTTGGGGAGTGCAGGTAGACTAAATGGAATTGCTGATGCTACCTTGAAGTTAACTGGTTTGGATTCTGTTTTAAAATATGTGCTCTTAAGAAATTTTTATTCTGAATGAAATTCTGGAAACATTAAAATGAAATGGAGACAGTAAAAAGGATATAGAGGCTAGAACAGATAGCAAAAATCCTTTCTTCTCTCCCACGTAGATGCCAGCATTTGTGGGAGAAAAGGCATAGCAACCAGAAACAAAGAGGACATTTGTAGAGAGTGGTGACATTGAGTTTCTTAGTCTGCTGGATGTGTTCACCCTATAACTTCTCGTTGGTACAAAGAAGCCCCTTCAATTTATTTATTTTTTTTTATATTTCATTAATTTTGTAGAAATGTAGTTATTTTTTAAGATTTGTCTGTTCAAAATTATTTGTAAATATTTACTATGATACTGCTGAAGAGGCATTAGCTATAATTTTTAAATTCTCCTCAGTGTCTGGGAGCTCTGGCCTAGTAGATAAAGAGCTTTGCTGCCAACTCAAAAGCACATGGTTCAAATCTACCAGCTGCTCCAAGGGGAAAAAAAATTAATTGGCTCCAACTGTAAGATATACAACAACAGTACTAAGTGCCCAGAAACATATAAGATTATTAAAAGTGCTTGAAGAAACTCTTTAATATTAAAATGTATAGAATGGAATTTTGAGTAAGAAAACTATAGGAGACATTAGAAGACATATTGGAAGTAAAAACACACAATTCTGGCTTACTCTAATTGTGTTACCCAAACATCATTTATTTGTAATATGCACCTGCTCTTCCTTTTGCCAAATTCTTAATTTTTCTGCTCGGATTAAGGCCTTTTAATAGTTTACTCCTTATATTAGTCCTCAGACACTTGCTTTTAAGTAAGCTGTCTTTTTGTTGGAAGAGAGAGGGTGGTATTACAATTTTTCTAACAATAAATATTTTTCCCCACTAAATTCTTAACTTGCTGTATATTCCTCAAGTATGTGAACAGTACTGAGGCTGAAAGATAGTCATTAAAAAGAAGAGATTCCATGCAGCTGGAGACTGACTTCTATAACATTTCTAGTTAAAAGTCAACTTCAGTCGTACTTTGGAGAAGGAAGACATTTGAAGGAGGGGAATAAATGAAAGGAAGGAGAGAAGAAAGCGGGGAGAAGAAGGAGAAAGAAACATAATAAGGAACCAAGACACAGGCATTTACTGAGCACCCACTATCAGCCAGAACTGTGGCAGACACTTTTATTAAGCACCATATCCCTTGCTCACTTCATCTTCATAATTATGTGGTCCACTTTATTTGTGGAGGAGCTTGCAATATGTTCAACCACATGACACTTAGTATTTATGACAAGGCAGAGATGCTAAGAAGCCTACATAAATTCTGCACCCAAAAATGGCACAGATTTTGCTCTATAGAATTTGTTTCCCAAAATAATGCTTTTGGCTCATAACTGTCACACTTCCCAGTGCTTGTAATTACTCTGTGCAAAGAGGAATTATTCCTCTGCGAAGAGGAAGCTTTGCTGACTGTTGTCCATCATATAAAGGATGAGTTTGACTCTTGGCAAATTAATGCAGGATTCATTGTGCTTAAGGACAGGTAGCTGGGCTCAAGTTTAGGTACCAAGACGAAGCCTGGTTTAGAGTTTTCCAGATTACATAGAATTTGCCAGCTCCCTTTTATAATAACCTTGGTTAAATCTGCAGCTGTCTCTTTTTTGTATTTTGTGTCTCTGTTTCTCATTCCCTGTCTTATGTAAAACTACTCCGCTTGGACTAAAAAATTCCAGTGAACTCGTTAGGAAGATATGTTCTGTTTACAGTTAGTTACATACAGATTGAAAACCGTTAGTCTATGAAAATGAGCACCTTGAAAGCTTCTTAGAAGAACCTGAAGGATTGCTAGATAACCAAGATCAATAAAAGTTAGAGTAGCCAAAACAAACCAAAGTAAACTCTGTGTGTTCTTTGTGTGTCTCCTTTCTGTCTTGTTAGGTCCCCACTGACATGTTTATTTGAGAGCAGCTGGGCATTCGCCGTGGCAGATACTTGTGGTCACATTGGTTACAAAAGGAAGGAGAGCAGAGGAATAGGGAAAACTGAGGTTAGAAATACACGGCAGCTCAGTAGAGCAAATGAAACACTTCGTATTTTTAATGAATAAATCTGAAATTACTTCTTTTTCCTGACTGAATTAATCATAGCATTGCTGGAATCTAAATATGTACAGGTCATCAGAGTATCTTCACCATATTGTTCAGGAGCAGAGTAACAAGATAACTTCCAGTATTAGCAGGGTGTCTTGAGAGGTGAAGTTGTGTATCTATCTCTAGCTATCCTTTTCTTAACCATTATCGTGATGCTGTTGTTGTGTACCGGTGAGTCAGAACCAACCTATAGTTGACCCTCTAGCAGCTTTTCAGGTGCAGTTTAATTACACGGGAGGAGATGGCCCATTTTCCTTTCCCAGAGCAGCTGACATAATACTACTGTTATAAAACAGGACTGACATGGGAGTTGAGAGGAAACTAAGAAAAGAGGGGATAAATAATGTACACGGCATTGAAATAGGCAAGGAAGAGAACTGTATAAAAGGAATATATGATTAGGTATTATTGGCATGACAAGAGTCCAGAATAAAAGCTGCATAGTAAAGTGGTCTGGGGGGTGGGGAGATGGACGACTGTGTAACGACTAAAGAACTTTTTAAAAATAATTTTTTAAAAAAGCTAACTAGAGGGAGAGGGAGCAGGGAAGAAAATGTGCAACAATGAATGAATGGAAATCCAAGTTCTTTATAAACTTTCATTAAAATCTCAATTAAAAATACAAACCAAAACCACATGGCCTTTGGGATCGCAGCACAGCTCCTTGTCTTTAGACTATCAGAGCTCTCTTAACCATTGTTGTTGTTGTTGTGTACTATCAAGTGGAAATGACTCATAGCTGATACTCCAGCAGGTTTTCAGAGACAGCTGACCCTCCAGCAGGTTTTCAGAGACAGTTTTAATTGCAAGGGAGGAATCCTTCTCATGCAGATCAGATGGTGGGTTCAAACTGTGTACCTTTTGGATGGCAGCTCCTTACTCCTTGGCCACAGGAGAAGGATAGGCAGTCTCCTCCTGTGAGATTCACTGCTTCTGAAAACCTGCTGGCGGTTCAGCTATGAGTTGATTCTGACTCAGTGGCACACAACAAAAAGTGCAGGTCCCTGACCATACTGGTCTGTTACGTTTCATGAATTTATTCCAGCTAAGAAAAAAAACTTCTGTTCAGAACAGTTTACCAGTCATATGTGTTCATAATGTTGACTCACTTACTGCCATGGAGTCAGAACCCACTCACAACTGAGCCTCCAATAAGTTTTTAAAGGCTGTAAATCTCTGGGAGCTCTGATAGTTTAGTGACTAGGAGCTACATGGCCAACCCAAAGGCACTGGGTTCAAATCCATCACCTGCTCCATGGGAGAAAAATGGGCAGTCTTCTCCTATGCAGGTTCCAGCCTCTGAAAACCTGCTGACGGGGCAGCTATGGGTTGGTTCTGACAGTACATAATCATAAATCACGTGAGAGGAGATTGCCTGTCTTTCTCCCACAGAACAGCTGTTGGATTCGTACCTTTGATTGACGGCACAATGCCTTGCCCACTAGGCCACCAGATCTCTTCAGAAAGCTATACATGCTGGAAAACTTTATCAATATTGAGTATAAATTGCTGTCTGATAAGCTAAAGCCATTTGGTAATGAATTAGTAAATGGAAAAGTTTTATTTCATTTCACAAACTGCTTTGCATTCAATATAACATTTATTCTTTCCACCAAATCAGTAAATACCCCTTATTTTAATGTAAGCAAGTAAAAACTTGGAAAGTTTGAGTCATGCATAACAAATATATGGGCCTGGTATTTAAAACGCCATCTTTAAACTCTAATTACACATACCTTGAAAGCTAGAAACCTAATTATTTCAGTCACTATTTAATATAATTGAAGGTTTGCCTGTGGCCAGAATTAAATGTTCTCTGAATTCTAATGTCCTAAACAAATTATGCTATATAATCTGTGGAAAGGAATGGAGAGTATGTATAAATTTTGACATAAAACTCATAGAATAGTTTTTTATGTTTTCTGCTTTGATTATTTTAAGTGATAAAACAATTTCTTATTGTGATTTTATTAATATGTCAGCCACAGAATGACTACCCACCTTGGATTCATAGTTGATAAAGTAATCATAATTTGCCATGGGATTGGTCTCTGAATAGAGGATGGAAACTATAGGTCATCACAGATTCAGGCCATCAGGTTGCAGAAATATATAAGCAAGTTGAGTCCCAACAGGAATTCATTTGCAGTTGTGTCTGCCACTATTGCGTAAATATGACCACATAAATTTGATCCATCCATGTTTAGAGGTTCATTGAAAGAAATCTGTATTTAGATGAATTAAACTATCTTGTCCACTACAATTTCACTCTTTGGTCTTAGAAAGGAGAGCATGGGGAGGGAAATGCTTTGGTATTATATATTGACTGTGTTTGTTTGTTGTTCTTAAGCAAATCAGTATCACCTCTTCTTTTCAGTCCAAATTTCCCAGAGTTTGTTTATGTCAAGGATTCTTAATGAAGTGGTGGAATATGTTTCCAAAGAACTTGGGTTTGTAACTCCCTCTTACTGTGTTTATATTAGGCTTTATTTTAAAGGCAAGTGAGACTGCTTCAAATAAAACAACTCCAGGCTTCTAAGAAACAGTTACGAGAAGGTAGAGAGGAGCAGAAACACCTCTTCCCTGACACACAGTTGCCATGGACCTACATGATCAGTGGGAGAACACAGAGACTACCTGGCACAAGGAAAAGATGGAATTACTGGACCAGTTTGACAATGAAAGGAAGGAATGGGAAAGTCACTGGAAGATCATGCAGAAGAAAATAGAAGAGGTACCATTTTTTTTTTTGCTTTGAATATATCATAAAAGTTAAGCATACTTGAATGGGATTGGTCTTGTTTTAGAAATGTTTTTTGGGTTTTTTTTTTTTTAATTCAACTTCATATATGCCTGATCCCGGGTATAGTCTTCACAATTACGAGTTATGCATCAAAGAGTTGTACAGTGACTAGGGATATTAGAATGAGAATTGATACCTTTAAGTTTTGGTGCTGGAGAAGAGTGTTGAATATACGATGGACTGCTAGGAGAACAAACAGGTTTGTCCTGGAGAAGGTGAAGCCGGAATGCTCCTTGGAGTGAAGGATTCTGAAGCTTCATCTGACATACTTTGGGCATGTTCCAAGGAGGGACTGGTCCTTGGAGAGGGACATCATGTTTGGGAGAGTGGAGGGACGGCGCAGGAGAGGAAGACCCTCGATGAGATGGATCAATTCTGTGAGTGAAGTGGTGGGAATGAGTGTGTCTGAGACAGTGAGGTTGGCACAGGATAGAACGGCATTTAGGGCTCTTGTACATAGGTTCGCTATGAGTCACAAGCAACCCGACGACACATAACAACAACAACATATATACATACCTCAGTTATATTTACTAGGACTAAAATATCATACCTTAGCTAATCATCTTTTGACCTATGCTTATTTATAACTTGATATGAAATTAAGGACTTAAAATATATTATTCTGGTATTGTCAATTTATGATCAGAGGACCTTGCATGAAAAATGGGGTATGTGTTTTGCAAGAGTTCTAAAATGCCAAAGCCTAGGAAGAATATTTGTAAAACTCAAGTGGTGGAATATATATTGTTGTTGTGATGTTCCATTGAGTCAGAACAGACTTTTATAGTTGACCCTCCAGTGGATTTTCAGAACCAACTTATAGTTGGTCCCTCCTGACAAGAATGCCTAATATAAATGATATGAGGTTTTACCATCCCTGCCTCTAAGAACTCTGGTTCCACTTCCTCCCAGACACAAGCTTTTCAGAGGCTGTAAATTGCATGGCCGGAGATTGCCTATCTTTCTCCAGAGGAGCAAGCTGGTGGATTTGAACTGCTTGCCTTTGGGTTCATAATACAACTCCTTACCACTTGGCCACCAGAGCTCTCTTGCAATATACATCAGAGAAAGTGTACTGATTGCTGTCTTTTGCTGAGGTTATTTATAAAATGCAATAGAGTCTGTCCCAGTTATATAAATATTACCACGTGCCTACTAAACGGAGCTCTGATAATGTAGTTCTTTTTTTTTTATAATGTAGTTCTTAATGTGCCTAGCTACTAATTCATAAGTTAACAATTCGAATCCACTAAACACTACACCCTTGGAAACTCTGTCGCTTCTACCCTACCCTATAGGAACACTTTGAGTTGGAATCAACTCTGTAACAGTGGTTTGGGGTTTTGGGTTTAATATCTACAAAAGGGCATTTTACACACTTGATAGAATTGTTTTCCTTGACTGCTAATCAAAAGGTCAGTGGTTTGAACCCACCAACTGCTCCTTAGGAGAAAAAGACCAGCTTCTGTAAGGATGTGCAGACCTGGAAACCCGAGGGGTTGTTCTGCTTTGTCCTGCTGGGTCACTGTGAGTCTGACGAGACAGCATTACACTGGTTTTTGCATTTCAAAGGAAATTAAGTGCTGGTATACTAAAAATCACTGTCATATCAACGAAATAGCACTAGGCATGAGATTTATTCTTGGTAAGGTGTGCTACATTTATTTGCACATTTATTAGGGAAGGGATTGAGAAAAATGGCATGTCATAACTCTGACACAAATAGTCCTTTTATCTCCATTGACTATTCACAGTCTGTCAGGCCTGGGATATTTCCTTCCAGCATTTGCATTAGCAAGTTCTCCAGGTTACTTCAACTGACAATTATTTATATGTATCTTGGACTCTCCTGGTAACAACCACTCTTACGAGTGTATGCATAATACAAAAGAGATTGTTTTAATACAGTTGACTTTAGGGTTTTATCTGCAGATAATCAAGCAAGAACCTAAGTGCTTATAGCGCAAAACAAAATCAAAATTAGTATGGTAAAAGGAAAAACAAATAGTATTAAACTCGTCCTCTAAAATAGAAGGCAGGCAGGTAGTGCATGATGAGAGACAGAAAATGAAAATAGAAAAATAGAACTTCTTTGGCTGGGAGAATTTACCCTTCCATAGTTTGGGAAAGGAGAATTCTTTTACCCAGAGACTCATACTGGATCAGCAAGGTGAGGGTTTGGTAAAAAATCAATACTCTAATTCAGCTGCACTGCTAATCCAAGAGCAGATATTTTGAATTCACCATCAGCTCCACAGGAGAAAGATGGGAAGCCTCCTCTCTTGTGATTTAAACCTTTAAAAACCCCATGGAGGGTAAAATGTGAGGGATCTGACTCGATCGCACATAACAAGAAGTCAGATTAGGGGAGTTCAGGTGGCATACGTAATCCATAAGGAGTTGTTCTGCTAACCCAAAAGCCACGTGTTTCATAGTCTTAAACCACCAGGAGGTGAGAAAGACAGTCAAGCTGCTTCCATCCGTTTTACAGCCTCAGAAATCCACTGAAGTGGCTCTGTTGGATCGGTTCTAATTATCTAATACTCTTATAATAGAAATACTATAAAAGTGCCTTTTATGAACACATTTATTTTCTCACAGTGTAGGAAGTTCAAGTTAAGTGCTCAGGTGCTGGTTCTAGGGAGGATTTTCTCCTTCTGTGGTCTCTGGAGGAAGATCCTTGTCTCTTCAGTTTCTACTTCCTGAATTCTTAGAGACTCCAGGTGTCTGTTTTACCCCTTCCAGCAATCACTTGTTTATTTTCTTTTATATATGAAAATAGTTTGACTGCAGACATCCTAAACTAATCCTGCCACATTAACATTACAAAAGCAGATCATCCCAACTGGGCTTATAACCACAGGCATAACAGCAACAACACACTGCCATGGATTCTGAACCAATTCAGAGCTGACTCACCAGCAGGTTTTCAGAGGCCTTAAATGGCGTGGCAGGAGACTGCCTGTCTTTTCAGAACATTTGCTCTTTGGATTATGAGTGCAACTTTCTACTCAGAACTCCCTAACCACAGGCACAAAGGTTAGGCATTACAACACATTTTGGGGAGACACAATACAATCAGTAACAGCTCCCAAAGGACCCTCAAGGAGACAATTGGCACAGTGGAGCCAGCAGTGGATTTAAGCAGAGATAGAAAGGATATAGCCAAGTATTAGGCAGTGTGTGGTTCTGTCTGTTGTACACGGGGTTACTGTAAATCAGAGCTGACTCAGTGGCACCCATCAGCAACTACCTGGAAGGTTCTGAGTAACATTTTATACAGTTCTATTACCCAAGCACAATATTTACCTGAGCATGAAATTGTCTACTGTACTGTGCACCTTAACCAATCTTGTGTCTGATTAAATTTGATATAATCAGGAAATTATTCTGACAACTCTGTAATTTTTATGTATGATAAATAGTTGTTGTTATTGTGTTCCACCCAGTTGGAACAGACCCATAGTTGACCCTCCAGCAGGTTTTCAGATGCAGTAAATTGCACAGGAGGAGATTGCCCTTTTTCCTGCACAGCAGCTGGTGGGTTTGTCTATGTACCTTCAGGTTGATAATGTAATTCCTTGTCATTAAGCCACCAGAGTTCCTAAGTAGTAACTTTCTGAAGGGTTGTTAGATGTCACTGAATTGACTTGAACTCATAGTGACCTGAACAACAGATCTGAACCTTGTCCCATCCTCTACCATCCTCACCATTTCTGATACACCTGAGCCCCTTGTTACAATAACTGTGTCTATCTTGTTGAGGGTCTTCCTCTGACCCTTCACCTTTCCTAACATGATACTTCTTCCCAAGGACTGACCCCTCCTGACAACATGCCCAGAGTATGTGCGGCGAAGATTCTTATTCTCACCTCTTGGGAGCACTCTGCTTGCACTTCCTCCAAGGCAGAATTGTTTGTTCTTTTGGCAGCCCGTGGCATATTCACTATACTTCCCCTCCATTATAATTCAAACGCATTTTTCTTGGGTTTCTCACATCCCTCTATTCACATTGTATTTCATTCAATCATTCCCATACATTGTGTGTTATAAAAGTCATCACCTTTGACCCATGCCCACTATTACCCCACCTTTTCAGGTCCCCACTGTATCTTTCTTAATTCCTTTAATCCCTCACTCTGCCCACATTTCTTTTTTTTTTTCCACATTTCTATGTTACTTCAATATTTCCTCCCTCCTGCCCTCAGTCACCCTTCGCCCTCCCCTTCCCCCTTTGGACTTTTGTATCCATCTTACTAGTAATCCTTCTATCTTTACACTAATGGTCTTATGTAGTAGCATTTGTCCTTGAGAGACTGTTATTCTTTAGATCGTTATTCCTTAGTGCTACATAGTATTCTGTCACATGAATGTACTACAATTTCTCAATCCTTTCATTTGCAAACATTTTGGCTGTTTCCATTTTCTTGCTATTGTGAATCACGCTGTTATGACTGCTGGTATATAAATCTCCATTTGTGTCTCAGTTCTATTTTCCCTGAGGTATATTTCCTGCAGTGGAATAGCAGAGTCATAAAGAATTTCAATGTTAATTTTTTAAGGAAACACCCAACTGTCAAAGGCATCAATTCTTCTGTCATCCTTATTCATTGACCAACTTTCAGATGCATAGGAAGCAATTGGAGAAAAAAAAAACAAAACCGACATAACAGGGATCCGGTTTATCTTCTTTAAACTGACCTCATTTCTCTTTAGCACTTTAGAGAGGCCCTTAACAGCAGATTTTATCAGTGCAACATGTGGGATCCAAGTAAAATGAAATGGTTGACAACTTTGCCCTTTTCTCCATTTATCATGATGTTGCCTTTCGGTCCAGTGATGATTATTTTTATTTCTTGATATTGAGAGGTAATGCAAATTAAAGGTTGTAGTATTTGATCTTCTGCAGTAAGTGTTTCAAGTCCTCTTCACTTTTTTCAAGCAAGGTTGTATAGCAAGCATTACATATACTTTAAATAATATCATTGTTGATATAGGTCCTTTTAAGACTCACTGTTTTCTACATCAAGAAAACCGAAGGATTGCAATGAAGACATTTCTGTTCTTCTTGGATGGGTGCTGAGGTGTTTTCTATGTCATACTATCTGAGTATGTAGCTCCATACGTGGGTATATCCTTAGATACTGCGCTTCTCAGGAAGCCCTTGAGATTCTCTCCAGTCCCTGAATATCAACACTATGCACCTCTTAGAGTAAGTATATATTCAATTCTTGTAGTTATTGTTATGTGCCGTTGAGTCACAACCACTTCGTAGCTGATTCTCCACCCAGCATGTTTTCAGAGGCTGTAAATCATGTGGGAGGAGATTGCCCATCTTTCTCTGGTTGAACCACTAGTAGACTTGAACTACTTGCATTTAGGTTGGCAGCAAAACCCCTTACCACCAGGCCACCAGACATAGATGTACACAGACACACACCCATACACATAGAGGTGGTTGTTGTGGTTGTTGTTGTTGTTGTTATGTGCCATCGAGTCACCTGCAACTCATAGCGACCCTATGTACAACAGCCCTAAACTCTGCTCTGTCCTGTGCCAATCGCACTGTCTCTGACATTCCCATTCCAATTATCCCAGTCACTGAATCAATCCACCTCATAGAGGGCCTTCCTCTCCTTCACCGTCCCTCAACCCTCCCAAGCATGATGTCCCTCTCTAAGGACCGGTCTCTCCTCACAACATGTCCAAAGTAAGTTAGACGGAGCCTCAGAATCCTTGCCTCCAAGGAGCCACCTGGTTTAACCCTCTCCAGGACAAATCTGTTTGTTTTCCTAGCAGTCCATGGTATTCTCAATACTCTTCTCCAGCACCATAGCTCAAAGGCATCAATTCTCCTTCTATCCTCCTTGGTCATTGTCCAACTCTCTGATGCATAACAAGTGATTGTGAAGACCATGGCCTGTATCAGACGCACCTTAGTCTCCAGAGAGACACCACTGCTCTTCAGCACTTTGGAGAGGTCACTAACAGCAGACTTTCCCATGGCAATGCGCCTTTTAATTTCCTGGCTGCTGGTGCCAAGACTGTTGACTATGGATCCAAGCAAACTAAAGCTGTGTACAATCTCAATCTCTTCACCATCCATCCTGATGCTGCCAATTGGTCCAGTTGTGAGAATCTTTGTCTTCTTGACATTGAGCCTCAATCCATATTGTAGGCTGCAGTCCTTGACACTCTTACGCAGGCGCTTCAGGTCCTCCTCAGTTTCAGCAAGCAGGGTTGTGTCATCTGCATAACGCAGATTGTTGATAAATCGTCCACCAATCTTGACCCCACATTTCTCCTCATAGAGCCCAGCCTCCCGGATAATCTGTTCTGCATATAGGTTGAAAAGGTATGGAGATAGGATGCATCCCTGGCATACGCCCTTCCCAATTTTGAACCATGCAGTGTTCCCTTGCTCTGTTCTGATGACTGCCTCCTGGTCCAAGTATAAGTTTCGCATTAGAACGATCAAGTGTTCTGGGATTCCCATTCTTCTGGGATTCCCACACATAGAGGTATATGTTGTTATTGTCAGAAACAATCCATAGTTGACCCTCCAGCAGGTTTTCAGAAGCAAATGGGAGATTTCCCATCCTTCTCCCATGGAGCAGCTGGTAGATTTGAACCAAATGCCCTCATGATTGCAGCACAGCTTCTTACCACTAGGCCACCAGAGATTATGCGCGTGCGCGCACACACACACACACACACACACACACACACACACATGCACATCTATCTATCTGAGCCTCCAGAGAGTTATCAGATGCAGTAAATTGCAAGAGAGGAGATTGCCCATCCTTTTCCCTCTGAGCAACTACTGAATTTGAACCATATGCCTTTGGAATTGCAACAGAGTTCTTAGCACCAGGCTACCAGAGTTTTGTATATGCATATAATATTACATACATATTGTATATTTAAAATTTATGTTTAGAAGGTACTCTATTAAAGGCTACAGAGCTTCATAAAAAGACAAAGTAAAATGTAAAGCACTCCATATGTCACAGAAAGAATTGTCATTTAAAAGCTCCAACTAGGAAATTAATGCTTGGAAAAATTTTGTTATGCCACAGATACAATTATATTTGCATTAATTAATATTTGTCACTAAGATACATGTTGAGTCAGATGCAAATTATTATGGAATATATTAGGGGTATGTAGATACCCAAGTGCAGATATAATAATTCAGTGATTTCAAGTGATAATATCAGACAGTGAGAGAATACAATTGAGTGTTAAGACACTAATGACTCACTGTCAGCCACCATCAAAAATCATTGCATTTCCTATTAGAAAACTACAATGGATATACCTGCATCATTGGAAACCTGGAGTATCTATGTAGAAGCTCTGAATTGGGAACTTTGTATCACTTTGCACTCATTTCTGTTTCTCACCTTAGGTGGAATAATTAGATAACCATTGATGACAGCTAGCTTCCCAGGAACATGAATTCCCTTATACAAAATAGTGGCTTGTCTATAGTCATTTTATGTTATTTATTTATCCTGACCTCGGTGGCTTAGTGATAAGGAGCTGCACTACCAGCTCAAAGACAGGCAGTTCAAACCTATCAGCTGCTTCTCAAGAGAAAGAAAGCTGGGTAGCCTCCTCTCATACAATTTATAACCTCAGAAAACCCACTGGAGGATCAGCTATGAGTTAATTCCAACTGGAAGACACATAACAGGAAGTTCACAAAAGAATTAAAATTCATACAAAGTAACATGTGAGAGTAACAAAAAAAGAGAGGTGAAGAAGACAAGAGGAAGGATAGTGTGTGATATGCTCATGGTATGTCATTGGAAAAATAGTATGGGATTTGTTCATGCTATGTTGTAAGCTTTCTAATACAATACAGAATGTATTGAGTTTATCTTTTTCAATATTCAGAAGACAAAACCAAACTCCCCAAGTGTGGCATTTCAGCCCCTGCCCTCTGGGTTTTAAACTAAAGCAATTTTGTTTTCTTCTGTGATATCACACATACAATATGTGTGTATGTGTAATTGTGTATATACACTCTGTTGTTGGTTGTTGTTGTTGTTACTGTTTTGTGCTGTAGAGTCAGAACTGACCCATAGCTGACCCTTTGGCGGGTTTTCAGAAGCAGTTAATTGCACAGGAGGAGGCTGCCCATCCTTCTTCGATGGAGCAACTGGTGGCCTCGAACAGCGAATCTTTGAGATTGCAGTGCAGCTTCTTGCTTGTAGGCCACTAGTGCCCCCTATAAACACTCTAGACTAGTAAATAATAATATAGCAAAGAAAACTAAGAACTATTTACTTGATACCAAAAATTGAGTGGGAATATAGTCTCAATTAGTAAGAAAAAGTTTTCTTTTTTATTTTCTTATCAGCTTTGCCAAGAAGTAAAGCTTCGGAGGAAAATGAACATGAAAGACCATGCTAAGACCATTAATCTTGATTGTGAGAAGGTCCTTCAAGACAAAATGATAGCCTCTTCTCCAAATTACCCCAACTCAGGACAGTGTGAATTTATAGGGATGAATCACAAACTTGGTCTGGAAAAAGAAAATAAAACACAACAGAGTATATTCACTGGAGAAGATCAAGTGTGTAAAGAACAAAAAGCAACCAAAAAATCAAAAGTAGAGTTTATGGATCCTTTGGCTGCAGACAACCAAAAGGAATGCAAAGGCCGGCCTGACCCCAGGACCCGTGAGGAAGAAAGCAAGAGCTGCTCTGGCGCCCTTAATACAGTAAGTAAGACATGCCTGGCCTAGGATGGTTTCTAAAGAAATATTTACATTTCAAAGTGCTAACATGCTATTGCTTATATGCATAAAGGCCCTTGAAGAACTTGCCAAAGTTAGTGAAGAATTATGCAGCTTTCAAGAGGAAATTCAACAGCAGTCTAACCACAGAAGGTAGGCTGATACATCTGTATAATTCCTTTGTGTTGGAATCTCAAGAATATTGTTATTATTTAATAAATCCAAACTTCCTCCTACATATAGTTTGTTAGTGATATTTAACAATGATTTTGGAGGAAAATTACCTTAGATTGAAAATAGAAACTCTAGTTGGGTACTTTTTTCTGTTTGCTAATACCCTAAAGCTTGACCAGGTGGATTGACACAGTGACTGCTTCAGTGGGTGTGTCAGGAAGTGCGAGGATGGCACAGGACAGAACAGGGATCATATGTCTTCTGTTCACAAGGTCTCTGAGTTGTACTCAACTTGACAGCACCTAACAATAACAATACCCTTGACTACTAGTAATACTTCATTCTTTCGGTGTTCTGTTGAGATGGACTCTATAATAAATTATTAATAAGCATTTTCTGAGTTTAATTCTTTTCTCATTTTGTATATTTGGCCAGTGGAAGAACATATAACAGATCTGATCATATTAAACACACCTTAAACTATGTCACATTTAATAGTGTGTAATGTTTGAATTGCACATTGATGTTCTAATGAAAAATTTTATGACCTCAAGTTATTTCTTTCTATGTTGTTCTTAAAAAGAAACGGAAACTCTACATAATTTTAAGAATAAAAATATAAATGTATACACATATTTAAATAATGTCACAGAATATGCTATTTCCATTCAGAAACACTGTATAAGAGTAAACTTTTTAAAAGTATGTATATATTCAAAATTCCCTACAAAAATAATGATGGGTTATTCTTTGATCTCCAATTATTTCCTAGTGTACATTGTGTTTTTCTGTGTAAGACAGTGTTCTTTATTTTTCTTTAGTTATAAGGAAGCTCAGAACTTTTGTTCATATTTACAGCTGATTTTCTAGGCAACCATGATTTACACATAACTTTGCTTTGCTCCTGCTTGTTTGATATTTGCTGCTATTCTCTGTTAGTAGGCATTTGTCTAGTTCCACTTGATTATAAAGTGTCACATAATCTCTTAAAAGCTGAAGAGATAGAAATAAATCAGCACGGTTAAGTTTTCTTTATGAGCCCATGGTGAGTCTATATTTAGGTTTTTATTTATGTGTCTCAGAAAAGACTTGCCAGTTCCCTTCCACAAAGCATACCTGGTATAACAGCTTTCACTGTTGTCTGAAGGTCATTGTTAAAAAAGCTCAAAACTCCAAGAACGTTATTCAAAGACATTGCAACTTGACAATGAGCTAACGTTTCACTGTTTTTCTCCAGTTCCTCCCTGTTTTGCTTTATAATGCAGTATTCATTGTCCTTTGAGTAACAACCACAGTTTCATCTACTTTGCTAATATAGAGCCTATGCATTTTATTCATCAGAAAATCCTTCTTTTCAAACCCTGCATCCCATATCTATCTAGAATGATGCATTTCACATTATCACTTTTATTCAGTTTTATCATATTACTTTAACTGAAGAGGGCAGTCTTGAGCTCACTTTGCTTAATGGCTGGTAATTGTGACTCCTTGTCTTATCATGAAAAGTGATTGCTTAAGTCTTTTCTGAATTCTTCCTGAAGTAAGTTATTACTGATAGGCCATGTTTCATAATTTTTTAGGATGAAGTCTGGTTCTTCTCTTCAGGCTATACCAAATGTTCTTAATAAGCCTCACGGGGACTACATGATCCGCAATGGCCAGTGTATGCTTCCAGTTGGTTTAGAAAAAGAAAAACAAACAAATAGAAAGAATCTGAACTGTGTGGATTTGTCACACAGTGATTCTAGGAAAAACCATGGAATTGACACAATTGACCTGCAAAAGAATGAAATTCCACCAGTTCCTCCTCCAAGAAGCACATCTCGAAATCTACCAAGCTCCTATTCTGAAGGTATCCAAGCCCATGAAGGACTGAAGGGAAATTTGGACAGTTCTTGGGTGGCCCAAAAGAGTCAAAGTGAGAAAAACTGTAATCCTAATTTCCCTCTGAGGCTGCATGACATGTCTATGTTACATCCAAATGAAGAGAAAACTTCTTTTACACCAGAAGCCAAACCAGGTGCCGAGTCTCTGTGTCATCAAGATAAGGGACTTAGCATGTGGTCGTGCAGCATTGGGGTAGATGCAAAAAATAGCCCTTCCACTTTGTGGTATCAAAGCACCTGTTCTATCCCCAGTAAGCCAAAATATGAAAAGATGATCCCAAATCATTCTGCTAAGTCCCATCCCAATCTTCATGTCAGCCATGACTGTAGCCCTTTGGGGACGCAAACCAGTGGCCGTCTTACGAGTTTCAATTGCAGCTTCGAAAGGAGCACAAGGAATGAAAAGCTAGCAGCAAAGACTGATGAATTTAACAGAACTGTGTTTAGAACAGATAGAAATTGTCATGCCATACAGCAAAATCAGAGCCACTTAAAATCATCTGAAGACCCTAACTCCTGTGAGACTTTAATTTCTCATGTAAGTAACATAGCCAAAAATGACAATGTGGCTCAGAAAACCAGTGTCCATGTGCCTATGCCCACAGAAAATGTGCCTGATAATCCTACCCAAATATTCACAACAGGAAAAGTCAGACCAGTGCAGGAACACCTAAGTCCAAGCAGTTACCGTAACATGCTTCATGAACATGACTGGAAGCCCAGCAATTTGTCTGGCCGTCCAAGGTCAGCTGATCCTAGGTCAAATTATGGTGTTGTGGAAAAGCTGCTGAAAACGTATGAGACATCAGCAGGTTCAGCCTTGCAGAACTATAAATGCTTCCAGAATAATCGGACTGAATGTGACTTTGATGTCAGTGGTAAGACCACATTAAGTCAGCATTTAGAAATGCTCCAAATGGAACAAGAGCTTCAGCAAAAAACAGCCAAATGTGGAGGTCAGCAATGGAAGAGAGGACTAGATCGGAAAAAGACAACAGAGGTGAGAAAGTAAAATGTGTTTTGGTAGAATTGTGTCCATATTTAGCAGGGACTTAGTTTAGTCAGAATCTCCATCATATAAATAGAACGTTGACACATGTTTTGACATCCTTTAAGCTTCTTGACCCTTCCTTTGTAAATAAACAGGAATGTTAGGATTTTAACTCAATATGAAGTATAATGGAGAAGCGTAATTATAGTAATTAGACTTAAGGATGTCAAGAAGGTAAAGCAATTGTTGCCTCATTCTTAAAGGTACAGAATGTGCATTTGTTAATTTATAGAACTTTATTAAAGTATTCATATTAAGAAAATAGATAGGAAATATTTTTAGTAGCTTGAACTTTCCAGCAGTTAGGTTTAGTTGGTTCAGTATATCCAGAATTTGACTCATGTTTTTTTTCTTACAGAATAACCACATTAATGTGAATGTGAGTAAAAGTCATAATTTTAAGATAGTGGTTTGTAAGGGTCTCTTGTTGAGGGAATTGAGCACCTGACAGTGGAAATAAAATGGGAATATTATAGTTTAAAATATAAGATTGTTCTTATTTGTATATGTTCTTAGAGATGAGAATTGTCAAAAAGTAATAAATCTAGATACTGTTTATGTTCTAATCTGTTTAAAAAAATATATCATCTTCACTGCTTATGGAAAATTGGGAGGTCAGAGCTACTGAGACTTACAGGGAAGAACTATGCAGTAAAAATATGCAGACATATTTTTTTCTCATTTTGCCCGAAGCGTTACCTGTTTGCACAGAAGACAAATAATTACTTTCTAATTCTCTGTTTTTATATTTGCACCAGTAAGTGTGTGTCAAGACTCTATAGCTGGAGATGTGAATAGTTACTAACCAGGCATAATTATTAGCTAAAAAGCAATGTGATTAAATGTTTCCCCTTGCATTGATTAGGGATAAGAGAGAGAGTCCTTTATAGTAGCTCTGTCGGAATAGATTTTTGTATATTCTCTGCAGGAGAATAATAGGCAGTCTTTTTTTTCTTTTCTAGAAATTCAAGTTTATTTAACATTAAGGGTAAAATATATTTGGAAATGAGACATACATTTTGGAATTGCAGCACAACTTCTAGCCACTAGGTGGCCAGAGCTCCCAGAGACATACATTTTGATTATGAATGGATGACATCACTAGATGGGCTCAATGGGCCATCTTCTCTGGTGGAGATTACTCCCTCTGAAAACCTGCTGAAGGATCAGCTATGAGTTGGTCACCCCTCAATTGTACATAACAATAATGGAATTTTTTTTAATTGTGAAAAATCAAATAATGCTTTTCTTTCATTAAAACTTAAAAGGAAGAGAATGAATAGAAAGGGAATTGATGGAAATTTTTATTTATTGAACGTTGTTGTTACTGTTAGGTGTCATTGAGTTGACTCTGACTCATAGCAACTCTTATGTGCAACAGATCTGTACCTTGCCCGATTTTAGTCTGGGGCAAAAAGCTAATGTCAAACTAATAATTTTCTAGTTTGACGTATGAACTCTTAAAATGTGAATAATAATATAAATGAATGAAATTTCCCCTCTAACATGTGTTTGAACACAAATGCTAGCGTATTTCCCTAAGCAATCTGCTGCACTTGATTCAACAGATTAAACTGTAGAAACGGAGTTCATAATTAGTACAGATTCTTGTACTAAAATTTATCCATATGAGTTCCACCAGATAATCAATGCCATATCCCATATTAAAATTCGATCTATTGATTAAAACAGTTTGAGAGCACCAAACACTAGTTATATTCCTTTTTCATTTTTTAATACTTTTATTTGTGTATAAACATGTTACCATATTAATCCCGTGATTCGAGTCTATCATTGGTGTCCATATAGTGAGCTGAATGACTTCGTCTGTGTCCTAGGAACCCATGGAAGTGAAATGTTCACATGGAAAAGGCTTTTCCAGACCTGCCCGACCAGCAAATCGCCGTCCTCCATCTAGATGGGCCTCCCGATCTCCGTCTGCACCCCCAGCTTTACGAAGAACTGCCCACAACTATACCATTTCTCTGCGATCCGAAGCATCCATGGTCTAAGCCAGGCCTAGGCTGCTAAATTAGAGTAGCTCTTGTCCCGGTTGCCAAATAGAGCATCTAAGTGTTTACAGCCAGTCTGGTTCTCTCCTGTATCTTTCAAGACTACTGGGACATGCTATTTGAATCTTAACTTCCTATCAGTCTTCAGTGTTTTTAATCTTTGGAATCATTATCTTCTTGTATTTTTATTTCTTAGATCAGCATTTTTTTAATACCATCCTCATTGATTTTCAAATATGATTTAAGTAAAACAATGTACAATATTGTATATTCTCACTTTCTTGCAAGTGACAGAAAGCAAGCGGTTATGTGCATGGCCATGTGTTTGTAGGTGCATGTGTTGAAATAGAGTGTCTTAGTATGTATTTAGATGAGAAAAACTTACGTGCTAGTGTTGACTTTGAAATTATAACATGTATACCTATATATTCTTTGTGTTTATTTTATATTTTTTAAAATATACAGTATCATTTCTATTTTGTATGCCTCAGGTATTCCACTTAAGGCATTTGAGGTACTCATATTAACTAACTGTTTCCTCAGTCCCAGCTGCATTGAAAAGTCAGACTTCAACACTGATGAACTTCTGAATATGACTCAAACTTTTTAAATCCATGTAAAGATAAACTATTACCATTGATCTCCTTTGCATCTGATTTTAAAGAAAAACAACACACTTTTAAGAGATTATCTTCTCAAGCAAGCATAAAATGTTCACAAATGCTTTTATATATCACTGGGAGTACATTGTGACTTTATACTTGAACACCACCTTATAGCTTACATGATAAGCGAGGGCTTTCTTTTGCTTTAGGAACAACCATTCCTTACACAGACTATAAAAGGAAGAAGAGTTCAATTACATGGAGTTCTATTTTTTGGTAAAACCATTATAAGCTTTTAGTTTAATTTCTTCATCTGAAATCATAGATATAGAGGTAAGTTATTCATATTTTCCTTTTATCCCCTAAAATTATAAAGAGCTTATTTAACTTTTTATTAACAAATCAAGAATAATATTTTGTTGATCACTAAATCACACTACCTTTCTTATGATGTGCTACATTAAAAATGGGTAGCAAGAGGGACAGAAGCTTGTATTTTGACTACAACTTGCGTATAGTGAACACATAAACGTTTCTAGTGAGACTGACAGAAAGATGAGTGCTGAGGTGCCTAAAATCCTACTTGGAAAGTCTTAGAAGCAATCTTGTTCTATACTATCTCTGTATAATACCAGCTGTGTTATTAGTTAGATACTAATTCTGTTTAAGCATTACTTTACTACCAAAAAAGGCTAGGATATCCTTTTGCCAAAAGTATTCAAAGAGCCTTGTCTCTATGATGTATTATTACCATTTAGAGAAAAATTCACGTGATTTTACATTTGTAGTAAAGTAAATAATTTTTAAATCCCAGACTGCCTTAAAGGCTCAAGACTGTTGTCTACTTGATGGAGAGATTCCTACTTTCCAGTGAGCAGTTAAGTTGAATTACACTTCCATAATTTGAGGTTGGATTGTTAAACAAGGGCTAAAGATTCACTTTTTTACAGGTGGTGTCATTAATGATATGCTTTTCATATGAAGGCAAAGAAAACTGGTGGGTTGGTGAGCTGAGGCATAAAATGTTGGAGATCTGTGAATCCTACCCTTAATTATAAGTCAGATTTTTAAATATTTCTTGAAAACTTAGCTTTGTATGGTTTTGGTTTTTTTACCTTATTCTAGGGTTACTAAAACGTGGTTTCCTGTGGTGGAGACCAGGAACCTGGAATTGATAGGCAGATTGAGGACTAGGGACATTGATAAGAGTCTTAAGAGATGGGTTTTCTTGGATAGTTTTACCTGAGGCCTTGCATTTACTATCAGTAAATTAAAAAGCTCTTCAGCCTGAACCACTTTCAAGTCCTTCCTTCTCTGTTGCCACTTGAATGAAATAATTTTAACTTCTCTTTGTGTTACAGTCATGAAATATTAGTGCAGAGGGGAAATTGCTTACCATCTAGTTCAATCCCCTTAACTGTAAAAATGGGAAAAGGAAAAAACTAAAACAGGGATCATTTTCTTGGAAAAAGATATTTTTTTTTAAGTGTTAGATTTTACCTGGTCATTTTTCTTCTTTCAATGGGCACTAGCTTGCCAGCAATACAGTCTTCTTTTTGTTATCATTGTTGAATTTAAAGCATTGTGTTTTCAGAAGTATTTTCTGAGAAGCCCTTTAGTTAACACATACATCCCTCGCAGAGTTGGAGGTAAAGTTTTAGATTGTTTCAGTAGATTACCCATTTTATGAGCTAACCTTGGAAAGTAATAAGAATAACACAAAGAGGGGTGTGTGTGTGTGTGTGTGTGTGTGTGTGTGTTTTAACATGAGTTCTCCAAAATTCCTTTGTATCTCAAAGCTAAATATGCTTTACATGAAAACTTCTTTTCATTTTGAAAAGAATGATCCACAACTTTAATTTGTTTTCATGTGAACCTTAAAGACAACCATATTTATTTTGCAGATATTGCAAAAAAAATAATTTATTTTACAAGGAGAATTTAACCATACTCTTTATCATCGTGTGATGACACCTGGACCTAGAAAAGCCACACAACACTTCTAAAAATTAATTGTAGGCACATTTACTGATAAACACCCACAGGTATGCATCACTAATGTGCAAAATCAACAAGATTCAACTCGTTGCCTTCAAGTTGGAACTACCTTAATAGCTGACCCTTTAGTGAGTCATAAAATAGGGCAGTATATGATTTGGGTTGTGCTAACACCATGATTATATACTTAGTGCACGAACATGGCTAAATCGCAAGTGATGCATTCACTATTTAAAACAGGGCTTTAAGCTTATTCATTCCAGTTGATCCTCTGCAAAGAATTTGCATTTCTTCTGATTTAACTAAATCAGAATCTATATTTTAACAAAATTCCTAGTTGCTTATTATAGACCCCCAGGTGATTCTTGACATATGCATGGGAATTATGCATATGTAATTCATATATGATAAATAAGGGAGCACCTTTATGGATGAGATGCCTAGTGGCAAAAAAAACCAACAACAACAAACTGCACTTGGTTTGAGTCCATCAGCTGCTCTGTGGGAGAAGGATGAGTAACTGAAATAAACTGTCTCTGAAAACTTGCCAGAGGGTCAGCAATGGGTTGGTTCCTACTTGAGGATACGCAACAACAATGTTTGCATGAGAATCACCTGAGATCTGGTAAGATGTAGATTCTGAATCCATATTTCTGGGGTGGCAGTGCAAATTCTCAGCACAGTGTCCATCCTGAATGAACTGTTGAAGCCCTGCTTTAACAACCCTTGTTTCATTTCCAAAATGGTGCTTGCTTGATACTGCTATCACTTGACTCATTGCTATGACTAGGAACTGGGTTTCTGAAGCTGTAAATCATGAGGAAATTGCCCATCTTTATCCCTTAGAGCTGTTGGTACAGGTGAAGCACCAGAGAGACATGGCCTTTGGGCCAGTAATGCAACTCCCTATAGATTACACCATAAGAGATCCTTGCTATTACTGTTGTTGTTGTATGCCATTGAGTACGAACTGACCTATAGCTGACCGACCTTCCAGTAGGTGTTCAGAGAGGATAAATCACACAGGAGAAGATTGCCTCTCATTTTCCAGGAAGGCAGACGACACTGGTTTTTCTAGGTTTGAGAATATTTCCATAAGAAATATAACAGATAACGCTACAACACTGAAGAGCTATATAATACAGGCAGCTGCAGCTGCCTATGAACCAAAGCATACTTTGTTATATTTATTTGCAAGTAGAGAAAGTTCATGTTAAAAAAATAGAAAATGGAGTATAGTAAATATACAAGTCGTGTGTATATATAAAGTGTGTGTGTGTATATGTGTATGTATTAATTTATTATGACTACCATGGCATATTTATGTAATGTACCATTATATTTCAATCAATTCCTGAGGCCTTGTTTTTTTGCCAATTCATTCAAAGCAGACTGAACTTCTTCCTTCATCACCATAGGCTCTTGCTCACATGTTTTTCATGAAATTCTTCTGTGTCGGCCAATTCTTTTTGTTACAATGACTGTATACTCTTTCCATATTCTTTTAATACTTCCTGGATCATTTCATATTCTGCCCAAAGCATCCTTGATTATAGCAACTCGAGGTTTGAAATTGTTCTTCAGTTCCTTGAGCTTAAGAAATGCTGAGTGAGATCAGCCCTTTTGATTTTCTGACTCCATCTCCTTGCACATTGTCATTGTTAATACTTTGTCTTCCCATGCTGTCTTTTGATATCTTCTGTTTGGCTCTTTAATAGCTTGATTTTTTCCCTATGCTTTGCCTTCTTGGTGCTCTAGTGCAATATTCAGAGTCTCTTCTGACATCCATTTTGGTCTCTTCTTCCTCCTCTGTCTTTGTAAATGACCTTTTGTACTCTTCCTAGATGATATTCTTGATATCCTCCCACAACTCATCTGGTCTTCACTCAATGGTGTTCAAGGCCTCAAACCTGTTCATGAGATGGTTTTGAATTTCAGATGGGATAAACTCGAGGTCATATTTTGGTTCTTATGGATTTTATTTAATTGTCCTTAGCTTCAGCTTGAACTTGCATATGACAAGTTGGTGATCTGTTCCAAAATCAGCACATGGCCTAGTTGTCACAGCTGATATTGAGCTTCTCCAGTGGTTCTTTCCACAGATGGAAGAAGTTCAAGCTGCTTTGAAAGTATTGGCAGAAAATAAGGCCCCAGGAATTGATGGTATGCAAATTGATGTATTTCAACTAATAAATGCTTCGCTTGATATGCGCACCAAGTTGTGCCAAGAAATCTGGAGGACAACCACTTGGCCAACTGACTGGAAAAGATCTATTTTGTTCCCATTCCAAAGAAAGGTGACCTGACAGTGTGAAAATTATAAAACAATATCACTGCTATTACATGCAAGCAAGATTCTGCTGAAGATTATCCAAAAATGACTGTAACAGCACATTA